TTACTCCATGAATTATCACTATAGACGATAGCAGTATCATCAGCAAAACTGATCACTTTATCTTTAAATTCAAGTTCTAAAAGGCTATTTATGTATAGAGAAAAGAATAAAGGACCAAGTATAGTACCTTGTGGTACACCACAGTATTACCTAATTGAACACACTGTAACCTGTTAGTAAGATATGATTTTAATAAATCATAGATTTTTCCTCGTAGACCATATGATTTTAATTTAAGTAGAAGTGTTTTATGACAAACTGTATCAAATGCCTTAGCTTAATCTTTAAAAATACAAAGTGTAGGCTTTTTTTTCATCGAAAGCGTCATAGATACAGTTTGTTAGATGACGTATTGCGTCTTCTGTTGATTTGTCACCTCTAAAACCATACTGTCTCATAGAGAGCACTCTAAATTTTTCTAAAAAAGAAACTATTCTATTTTTAAGTATTTTTTCAATAATCTTTGATATATTAGAAATTAGAGATATTGGTTTGTAATTAATCATTTGGTCTTTATAAAGTGGTTTAAGTACGCCAATTTTAAGGACATCTGGAAAGGACCCTGATTTTAGAACTACATTAATTTAATGTGTAAGAGGAGTAATAATATTTTCTTTAATAATTTGTTTTAAAATTTCACTTCTAATTTGATCTTGACCCCCCCGGTGATTTATTACATTTTAAATTATCTACAATTTTCCCTATTTCGTATTCGCTTGTTGGATGCAAGTACATTGTGTTTTCAATGATTTGTATTCGTCCTGTGAAATCTTTTTTTTTTATTTTTTTAGCATATTGCTTACCCAAGCTACTATAGTATTGATTAAATTGTTTTGTAATTTCCAATACATTATTAATTATTTCGCCATTTTCTAATTTAATAGTTTTAATCATTGTTTTACATGTTCTCTTGTTGCATAGAAGATTAACTGCATTCCACATGTTTTTAGTAGTATTTTTATTTTTTTTATTAATTTTTTAAAGTAGTCAGATTTTGTCTTTTTTACCAATTTTGCTGTTTTTTGTAATTTTTATATTGTTGTTCTAATTCAGGACTTTGAGGATATTTTAAATGTAAAGTATATAGTTTATTTTTGTTTTTAATAGATTTTGATAGACCTAATGTCATCCATTCCTTCCTCTTCTTTATAATATTTTTATATTTTACAGTTTTTGTATGTTTGCTTATACAGGGTGAGTCATGAGGAACCTTACAGACTTCTACCATATGTAGAGTACCTTAAGGGGTATATCATATGAGCATTAAAAAGTGGCAACTCCCCTTCGTTATTCCCTCGTTCCTTCGTTTTGTGAATTTTGACAAAACTTTATATGGCCGTAAAGTCTACAAGGATTACTAGATTTCTTTAATTTTTTGGTGGAGCATTACACTGGTGTCTAGCATTTAATTCATATCATCAAAAGTTAAAAATTCCAGGATTGGCTTAGGAAAAATTAATCTCGACGATTCATATCAAAAAGTTCGCCCTGTATAAGATTGTTTAAAATTATAATAAGATATTTTTAAAGTACATAGATAGACAATCAAAACTGTGTATGTGACATTTTTGTCACCTTTTTTTTTTATTAAGGTTCGATTTTGGGTAAAACTGAAAAATCACCTTAAGGGGTCACATAAATTATGTTATAACATAAAGAAAACATTGTTAATTGTATGCATTTGAACTAAACGAGCCAAACATAAGCCTTTAGTGAGCTTACTAGATCGTTAAATTCATTTTCGACAATTTCCAGATCCGGATTAGTTCATTTTTAAATTTTAAATAGAAATCGGCCTATTTTTGTAGACTATAGAAACTACTCAACTAAATTAAACATGTCAATAATCAATAAATAAATTGTAGCGAATAACAATAACGAACAATAAATTCACACTTATTAATTAATAATTATAAATGCTATTTATTAACCTCTAATAAAAATTGCACATTTTATTCTTGCAACTAAGATATTATGTGGTTTTATTTTTATTATAAATACATAGTAGGTACCTATGTATCAAGGTAGGTTGTGATAGTTTGACGTTTGTTTGTTCTTATTTATTTGTCATTTGCAACCATTATTTATACGTGTAAAATAATATTTCGCTTTGTTTTATCTATTTTACAATAGTGTTAGAATTTTTGTTGTCGGTGTTGTTATTCAAAATGCCCCATAAGTTTTCAAATGCAGAATATGCAGATATCATTTTTATTCTGTAATGGGAATGGCAGAGCTGCAGCAAGAGAATATCATAGAAGATTTCCTGGTCGTCGAGTTCCCTGTCATTCAACATTTGCATCAGTTTTTAATTATTTGCGAGAACATGGCACATTCCCTAAAGCAAATACAGAACGAAATGTAGATCATGAGCAGGAAGATAATATTCTTGATGCTGTTATTGCGAACTCCACAATAAGCACCAGGAAAGTAAGTCGACAACTTTATGTTACCCAATCAAAAGTGACTAGAGTCTTACGAAAAAATAATTTACACCCATATCATATTCAATTAGTTCAGCGGCTACACCCTGGAGATGAAATCCATAGGTTGGAATTTTGTAGGTGGATTGCAAATCATAGACCAGTACTGTATAGAACACAATTTACAAGGGATGGGATAAATAATTCCCGTAATTTACATGTGTGGGCAGTAGACAATCCCCATGCTGTTCGAGAGTTTCGGTCTCAGTTAAGGTTTTCCGTGAACGTGTGGATTGGTGTGATAAATAACCAATTTATATGACCTCACTTTTTTGATGGTCCTTTAAGAGGACAAGTTTACTTAGACTTTTTGCAAAATACTTTGCCTAATTTACTTGCCAACGTAGGTATCCGAGGGATGTATTTCCAACATGATGGAGCATCGCCTCATTTTTTAGTTGCGGTAAGAAACCATCTAAATAATGTTTTTGGCAACAGATGGATAGGACGTGCAGGTCCTATTTCATGGCCTCCAAGATCCCCAGATTTTAACCACGTAGATTACTATATTTGGGGATGATTGAAAGAATTAGTTTATTCACAAAATATTAATGACCGACAACAATTAATTGATAGAATTATCCTTTGCTCTAATGTTATTAGAAATGATCCCTTGACTATCCGTAAATCAATAAGGCACTTAACGATTCGGCAACAAAAATGCGTAGAAGCTGGAGGGTTTCATTTCGAACAACTACTGTAATTGTTAATTTATTACCATGATTTTATTTTCTAGTATACATGTTATCATTATTCTATGTATGTAGTATTAGCTTTTTTTTTAATTTCTTAGTTTTTCGTTATTCTAATTCGTAAAAATTTATTTATTGTTTGTTGATGAAATTTAAACGAAATAAAATATTTCTAATAAATACATATGAACTTATGTTTAATTTATTTGAGTCTCCAAAAATGTACAGGGTGATTTTTGTTTAAAAATTAATTAAAAATTTATAACTAGGCCTGGAAATTGAATAAAATGATATTAACGGCGTAGGCACTAAAAGGCTTATGTTAGACTCGTTTTAGTTCAAATGTATACCATTAACAATTTTTTCTTTAAGTTATAACATTATAATGTGACCCCTTAAGTTGATTTTTCAGTTTTGCTCAAAATCAAAACTTAATAAAAAAATTAAAGAAAATGTGACAAAAATGTCACATATACAGTTTTGATTGTCTATCTATGTACTTTAAAAATATCTTATTATAACTTAAAAAAATCTTATACAGGGCGAACTTTTTGATATGAATCGTCGAGATTAATTTTTCCTAAGCCAATCCTGGAATTGTTAAATTTTGAGGATATGAATTAAATGCTAGACACCAGTGTTAAAATCCACCAAAAAATTATAGAAATCTCTTTAAGTTATAACATTATAATGTGACCCCTTAAGTTGATTTTTCAGTTTTGCTCAAAATCAAAACTTAATAAAAAAATTAAAGAAAATGTGACAAAAATGTCACATATACAGTTTTGATTGTCTATCTATGTACTTTAAAAATATCTTATTATAATTTAAAAAAATCTTATACAGGGCGAACTTTTTGATATGAATCGTCGAGATTAATTTTTCCTAAGCCAATCCTGGAATTTTTAAATTTTGAGGATATGAATTAAATGCTAGACACCAGTGTAAAGATCCACCAAAAAATTATAGAAATCTCATTAAGTTATAACATTATAATGTGACCCCTTAAGTTGATTTTTCAGTTTTGCTCAAAATCAAAACTTAATAAAAAAATTAAAGAAAATGTGACAAAAATGTCACATACACAGTTTTGATTGCTTATCTATGTACTTTAAAAATATCTTATTATAATTTAAAAAAATCTTATACAGGGCGAACTTTTTGATATGAATCGTCGAGATTAATTTTTCCTAAGCCAATCCTGGAATTTTTAACATTTGAGTATATGAATTAAATGATAGACACCAGTGTAAAGCTCCACCAAAAAATTAAAGAAATCTAGTAATCCTTGTAGATTTTACGGCCATATAAAGTTTGGTCAAAATTCACAAAACACCCCCGTATATTAATAACGAAGGGGGGTTGCCACTTTTTAATGCTCATATGATATACCCCTTAAAGGACTCTACATATGGTAGAAGTCTGTAAGGTTCCTCATGACTCACCCTGTATAATATTCAATTTTATTAATAAATTTGACAGTAATATAATTAGCATAATATCTGTTATTTAATATGTCATACCAATTCTCATTTTCCAAGTCATAATTATTTAAACTCCCAAAATCAGTATAATTTTTAAAAAGAAAGTTATTTTTATCTAATTCCGGATCTTGGAAATGGTTGCATATTTAAACTTGGTGTTATTTAAACTAGCCGATTAGTATTACAAAGTCTGAAGTTTAAAAACTTTTGTAATTAATGTGAAATTTTCAAAATATGCCTACAATGAGGGTTTTTAAAAATGCATATTTAAAGATTTATGTAAACCTGTAATCATTTTATTTAAGATAAACATTTAGTACTACGTTATTAAAGAAACTTACCCAAAAAACAATATTAAAAACCATCAAAAAGCTCTTCATGCACGCCATGGCAGCAACAGTTTGCAGCTGTTTCACCATTTTTCGCCAATAAGAAATTTACAAACACTTCCTTTAACTAGCAATCGCTGTATAATATACTAAATTTTATAAATATATTACCGATACACTATTATAACCTTTTAATATGAATATTACACGGTATCAACTTCCTCTCCACGATAAGAAAGTTTTGGTCTAAAAATGAAGGGATTCAAATACGTTGCAAAGTTGTAGTGGATCGATCAAGGCAGCTGTGACACGCGCAAATCACAGGGTGGTTCAAGAAAGAATGATACTACAGTAATGATCGAATTCGAGCATATTTTTAATATACAAAAAAATGTATTTCTTAAAAAACGGAGAAAAGATCGTAATGACTTAAATATTTTGTTTTTTTTTATGTAAAACCAGATTAGACCACATGAATAACGTAATATACATTGTGCAGTGGTGGGGCTCTTGCCTTATGTTAAAAAGATAATAAATGAGGTTTAAAACAGTTTTTCGTTTAAATAAACGCGAATACTTGAATCGTCTACTTTCAAAACTGGCTACATATATTTTAGCAAATATTGAAATAAGAACAAAAACATCAATATTCCTAACCTGTGGTGGCTCCCCTTAATTTAAAATGGGTATCCAATAATTTTAGATTTTGAAGCAAATGTGTGTAAAATGCAAGTGCTTATAAATTTTCAAATTTGAAAGGTAACAAGTGTAATAAGTTCGTTACTATTATAATTATAAGAAACATATAAAACTGCTTAATCGTTCCTTTAGATCAGCGCTTTTAAACCCATGGGCCGCGGCCCCGTTAAGGGCCGCGAAGAAATTTTAAGGGGCCGCGAAGCTTTGTTAAAATTTTATTATGTCTACATTTTGCAACTTTCAAACATTTTAACCACAAGCCACCACTGCTACTGCATCTTTCAAACATTTTAATCACGAGCCACTACTGCTACCGCAACTTTTAAACATTTTAACCACGAGTTACAACTGCTACCATAATACTTACTTCTCCGAAAGTATTAGTCATCTTTGGAAAGATGCATGACCTGCGTGTCACCCACTACCCACTACAAACTGCAGACTAGTGTCACAGAATAACCTACTACAGAAGCAATGAGGTTGAATCACATACTTTGATTTTCTTTTACTATACGGAGAATGGTCGCACTGCGCAGCTTTCTGAGTGGCTTTTAAAAGGAGATAGAAAACTCCGCCATCTTGAACCCTTATTACGTGTTGCCTACATCTTGGCGCAATATTTTTAATAGGTGCGTTTTAATCATCCGCTTCTGCTTCGGAATTGTCGGTTTTCTTGTTTTAATCTGACAGGTTAAAACGACTAAACCGACAATTCCGGAAGCAGAAGCGGATGATTAAAACGCACCTGATATTTTGCTTGCTGCTGTCAGTGTCAGTGAATATTATTTTAGAAGTCACACTTTATTGCTAAAGAATCAGTTAGCTCACTCGGACCAGTTGAAAGTTCCAAAATGACATTCACTCCAGGGATATAAATTCAGGATACGCAGAAGACTGCTGTTTTATTATAGGCGGTTGTCATATATTGTATTATCCGAGTTGCACAGTGTATAAACTGGAACATTGAGATCCAACGTGCCGACGCAGAGTGAGCGATCTGATTCTTTAGCTGTAAACTGTGTCATAGGGTTCAAAATGGCCGCGCCCTATGTTGGGTGTGTCGGACCTCTCTCTTGCCTCGTATAGTAATCAAAGTATGTGGGTTGAATACTATGGAGATGACATGCCAAAAAAAACGACACCCCTTCCCCCTCTCTTAGTGGTCATGTCATAGTTGTCAAAGAGCTGTCAGAACTTTATTCAAATTTAAATATTTCGACGTTATTTCTATCTTAATAAGTGTTTTTTTTTTATTAATTTGTATAAAAATCATGACTAAGTGTGCCAAAATTAATTGTAAAAACTCTTCAGTGAAAGAGCGTAAGAAAATATCTAATTTAAGTTTTCATAAGTAAGTATAAGGAGTATACTTAGAATTTTTTTTAGAATGCTTAACTTTTTTTTATTATAGGTTTCCAAAAGACCCACAATATCTCAAAATTTGGTCTAAATTTGTAGGAAAAGACCAATTTGAGCCTAAACCGAATAGCATGTTGTGCTCTATTCACTTCAAGGAAGAATTTTTAGATAAAAGTGAGTTTAGGGTCAGATTGAAGAAGAATGCTGTTCCGACAATAAATGAATGTTTAGTTAGTATACACTTTATTTACAATAAAACTTAAATAACTAACTTAATAAAAAACATTGGTTTGACAAATAACTATATTAAAACTTAAATAACTATAATAAAACTTAAATACCTAACTTTATAATTAAACTTAAAAACCAACTATAATTAAACTTAAAAACCGACTTATAATTAAACTTAAAAACCAACTTATAATTACACTTAAATGACTAACTTTTTAAGTAACACATGATTTAGAATAAAATTTCAAGTATTTAAAAGCAGTTTTTATTAGATCCTAAGTTCCTATTATTATATCGTTTTAATAATGAATATACTGTATAATAATAAATACTGGTGATGTATTTTTATTATTTAATTAGATTTATGGCCATCACTCACTGCTATGTACCTCCTCATCCTCATGATATAAAATAATATGCCCGCTCATGTACCACATTACAATTATTATTAATATTAAATGAACAAACATTACATTGATGTTCCTTAATTTAAAAATACACAATAAATATAATTTAAAACATATTACAAAGTTAATGATATTTAAAAATTAGTAGTTTTGGAACTTAAACTAGTAGTTTTTGTATCATGGATCTATATTTAAGGCTTTATAACATACCAAATCTTGTTACAGACTAACCCATAGAATAATAAAAAGAGAAGGTTTGAATAAATGGCGGGACTTGTTTCCTTGTTGGTAGTTGAACCGTAAGCGCTTAGCGCGCTGCTATCACTAAATTCAAACCCGTTTTACACCATAGAAATAGTATAGAAAGCCGATTCCATATATCAAAAATGAAACCATAAGGAGAAAATAGTGTGTCGGAGCTCATGCGTATAACGGTGCTGGCGCGAACAGGACCGGTGCAAGTTTTTTATTGATCGAACAAATAGTTCGCACGATATTTCAATCATACATTTTTAGAGATGATTATATACAAAAAACGATTAAAAAAATTTCAAGTTAAGGTAAATATGGTTCTGACAGTCCTTATTAAGAAAGATATGGCATAAAATATGAATTAGTTAATTTTCGGCAATCATTAGTACAGTAGTCATGAGATTTTGCTTGTGATTTTAAAAATACTTTCCAGAAAAACCACGTGCTCCGGTTTTGACTACGTTTATTATTAAACAGCGAAATTATATACAAAAACTTTAATCCGCAATCTAAATTAGGTACTATCACAAGAAAATCACTGTTACAATAATTAATTACTTAACCAAAAACTAAAATACTTTTTAGGTACCTACGTAACCAGAAAGGAGCTGGACCATTTATCCTAATATTGATTTTCTCTCTCCCTACGGTAAAACTTAAAACAATTACAAATTGCCTATCTACTAGGGTCGGTAACTAAACGTATATACATAATGGGCGGATTTTGTTTATACTTAACATTACACTCGCGCATTTAAATATAACTATGCATATAAATATTTACAAACAAAGATACTTTTCCAAACAGGCAATCATTAGTACTGTAGTCACGAGATTTTGCTTGTGATTTGACATCTTATTTGATAATATCATTTGCTACAACTAAATTTAATCTGGGGAGTGCAAAATAGGGCCCAGGAATATTATGTTCGATATTTTTTTACATTTTGTCAGCCGAGACTATGAGTCGTTAGACAGAAAACCTTTCATGTTACCATTTTCAATATAAATTAAAAAATTAAAAAATACTACTACATTTACTTGGTACATATTTTATTTTAATTTTGAACCTTTTTAAAAGGGTCTTTCGGTTCCATAATAAAAATTAGTTACTAGAAACATTCTATATAGCCTAAACCAATTTATAGTTTGTTTTCGATCAATTTAATACAAAGATTTAAAGTTTTTAGTCGATGATAACATTCCACACCAGCACATTGCAAACCTATTTTATAAATAATAGGAATAAACTTGTAAATCATTAATTTGGTAGTTATCTCTCATATGATTTTTTTGTTTATATGACTATTTCGATTTCTAAATATATTTTGGCCTTACAATACGAAGCGTTTTGTATCTACCACTTTTTTAATGAACGATGAATGTTGGCAGGCGTGTACCTTTTTCGGAACAAGAGGCGTTTTAACGAAGGAAATGATTTTCGAACTATCTAGTTAGTTTTCGGAAAAATAGAAAACGTTTGAAGAAAGTTGTCAATAACAGTTTGTCGTTAATGTGTTTCATTTTGATCAGCTTTCATACTAAATTGCGTAGAATATTTTTCCGATTCAAAATCTAGATTCTCGATATTTCCACAGTTTATTTATAATACCTTCTAAACTGGATTTATCTATCATTTTATATACTTTATAATATATGTTCATGCCCTACTTTTCACTTTATTAACAATTTTTTTTAACATACTTCAAAATGGTATGATATTCTCAATTCGTTGAAATATTTTTTTATGTATGTTGAGCGATAATTCTTTACCACGTTGCCCGATTTCTAGGATTATTTTTGTTAGAAAAGGAAACAAATTTATATACATTAAGTCAAGATCTGAAGATGGGATCCATAAGAAAATCATTAACATCTTTATTTTTAAAGTAGGTTTTTTTTTTAAATTTCTTTAAACCTTACGCGGTAAGGAATGAAGAAATGAAGTACCGATTAAAATATCGAGTGACAGAAGAGTTCCTAAGATTGTTGAGATCGGGTTTATGTTTTAAAATGCCTTAAAACGGATATCGATAATGTCTCCCCGTCGCTGGGCAGCCTGTATATAAATATACAGCTCTCTCTATTTACATAATTATAATTCTTAGGTAGGTTTAGATTTGCAGACATAAATCTTGTAATAAATGTAACAGCTGCCTAATACATTGATTACATTTTCATTAGCCAATGTAAAAATGTCTTTTATTGTACCTAGGATTTGACTAAACACTACACAAAACTAAAAATAAAATGCCACTTTCATCGTGTAATTAATGCCGCGTTTGAGAATCCACATCGGATGCATTTTTTACATCTCGATCGTTTTTTATCCACATCGGACACATCTGTCCCATTACATTTACGTATACTGAATCACGTGATCAAAGATTTA